GTACATGGGATGCAGGTGAGAAGATGATAGAAGGATGAAGGGTGGGCTGCCTTGATCAGGAGACAGACTGCGTGACCACCAGTGCTGAGACGGAAAAGGAGGAACTATTGCTTCTACCCCACCAGCATTCCTGCTACTCCCGTGCAGCACACAGAGTAGTATCAGATGCACTCGACACGCCACGCAAAGCTACCATTCTGCATGCTAGAGATTAGACTGTAATTTCCAATCATAGCACAGCTTGCAAGGAAACACAGACAGCGTGAGCCCGTTTGATAGTTTCTGTATGGCATCTAATGTTATAATAGTTCAGGTGTCCAAAGATAAAAGTACCTACATGTCTCATGAATATAGGTGGTACTGGGAGACTCTAAGTGCACTGTATAGATGTGATTTCAAACTTGCCTGCACAACAGAAACAATACATGGCCACAGCTACACCAACATTCTACTGAAGGAAAAACATCCATCAGAGCCTCTCAAGATGCTAAAAAACTAAATTTGAAATATTAGCACAAGTAAGCAGGCTTTTTTACTTTTTTAAATCCCAGTGCTCACATAGCCAATCACAAATTCAGCTGTTTACACACCACTTCATAAGCACAAGAATGCGTAATGCTTCTTGTTTTAGTCATCTTGTTGCTTCAGAACTCTACCTATTTATAACCTGTGTAACAGCTGGGGCCGAGCTGTCCTGGAATTCATAAAAGTGTGTCTGAGCAGACAGATGCTATGCAAGTCTCCTTCAGCAGAAACAGAGGTCAGTCCTTACAGATTTAGTTTGACATGACTGAAGATGTTGGCAAACCATGTGTTATCTTGATTATAGAACTTCAGGCAGAAATTAAGAGAACAGATTCATGAACCACAATGGGAACAAAGCCCGCAGCAAAAGATTGAGCGAGGGAAGCTGGAGAATTGTCCCTTGGTTTGAAACATGTTTGCTGATTCTGGACTAATTTTTGGCAACTGAAGTTTCAGTGATTTCTATGAAATCTTTTCTCTAGAAGCTTCTAAAATTCGGAAGTGCTCTTCTATGAAGTTTTATTTTTGGCTTCCTAGAGCAGCCCTGTAACTGGCTGATTGTTCTGGTCTGTACTGAGATTTCAGTAAGAAGCGCTAGCCTGCCTGCCTGAGCAGGAGGTCAAAGGAAGCAGTCAAAGAAGGAGCAGGACTGGCTTCTGTGCCACCCACAAACTGGTCTCACATCCACACTTATTATTTTGCTCAGGAACAAATCCTCATGGAAAATAATATCCCCTGCAATAGTCTGATTGAACCATAATTTTTCCATGCCAACATCTTTATACACAGGAAATTGAAAAAGACAAAGTTAATTTAAATATAACTAAATTATTGCATCGATTATGGCTTATTGTTTTAGATTTATCACTGCTTTATTCAGACTGGCCCTAAAATGAGATTTCTCAGCTTTGTTAGCTGCCACATTCGTATTATCTAGTCCTCTGAGATTATGCTTGACATTTAAATGGGCAGAGAAGCAAAGGCAGTAAGCAAGCATAAGGCCTAGCAAGAACTTAATTTAAGAGCAATAATGTTCACATAAGTCTTTATGGGAATGTACAGAACACAAGCAGCCCTTTTCAATAAAGATCTACCAAGCCTAAATATTAAAAAAAATTTCCTAGGATCCCCAAAATTATGAAAAGATTTAATTAATCATTATTGAAAGGGTAACCTCATAACCCTTTAGAACACTTATTAAGAAATCATCTTTTCTTTTTCGTATTTTCTTTGACTTCCTAAAAAAAAATTAATCATAGTTGAAACTCCATAGAAATTAAAGGATTCAAGAAGTGTCATTTTTAAGGAACAGTCAGCTTAATACTTAAGGGGCCCATGCAGCAAACTACAGAACAAAGCACTCCAAGTGCTTTCATTTAGCTTTACATTGGAATAATTCATTCAAGCAAAAATGAACACAAGGAGGCCTTGCAGATCAGCGCTTTAATAAGTATCAAAATAAATGATCTTCAAAGAAAACCTAAAAATTGATGTCTGCATTGCTAGAATTGCTAGCAAAAGGCTTTTTGTTGTTGATTTTGCCATTGTAATAATTGTAAAAAAAAAAAAAAAGTAAATGTCATTGGTCTTTTTCAAAGAGGAAAAAATTACTGAAAATTTCTTGTCAAAATACATTGCCACTCTTTCTCTGTTTCCTGCGAGTTACAGTTTGCTTCAACTCAGACAAATGAAGTAAAGCAATATTTTTATCTTGAGCTTTTGTTGACTTCAGCTCCAAAGGGAGCCCAACGTGCAGCTGTACTTCCTACAGAACAGATAGGACAGCTTATCAAAAACAAAGTATTGCTCTCACGTGAGCAACTAGGATTTCCACCCTGAAAACATAACTGGACTGAAGGTATATTATATGTAACTATTAGGTAAGCAGAAAGTGGAGTTATTTTTCAAGCTAGTCTAATCTTCAAGCACTTCTAATAACTAATCAAGCATCTCCAAGAACAAATATCCTTACAGTGAATTTCCCAGACTGCAGCAGTGCTGCAGAACCTCCTGGGATGGAGCTGTACAGATAATATATGATGAAACGATCGTCTAGCCCCCCCCCCCACTTGCTCAAAGTGGGGCTACTCTCCAAACAAACAGTAAAAAAGAAACAAACTCACACACACATAGAAAGTAAATCCGTCCTTCAGCCTTTCACTGATGTGAAACTACTTCTGTGTAATTAATTGCCCACAATTAAACCTGTAAAATCCATACAGCAGGAAAATGCTAAGAGATGACACTGACAAGACTGTGACAAATCAATGTCAACAGAAGTTGACAAATGTATTTAGAAACTGGATTCAGTACTGATGTGCATTACATAATCATTTCATTGGATTCTGAAAAATTAAAATGATGACACAAACAGAATATGACTGAGTAATGAATACTCCTGCACATATTGTTGTTTCTTCCTGAGGCATCAGTGAGTTACTTGCCATCCACACCACGTGAAACAGAGATTATTTTTGGCTGCATGGAACAAGCACATGTTTAGTGTAACAGCCTGCACCAGTGCTAGAAGTATTTGTGTATAACACAGGATTGTGTAAGATGGCTAGATAGCAAATGACGATGCTCAGCTTACAAGAGTCTTTGGCAAGGATGTACATTCACAACTGCTCCAACAGAGATTTTACACAAAGCCTTTGCACCTAATCCAGTGCAAAATTAGACCTCTCTGGGCCTTTGAAGCAAAGCTCCTGAGCAAGAGCCTTGCCTTCAGCACAGCTGTGAGTGTTCTGGAGGTCTAGAAACCAGACATGCACCTCCCAGTACTCTCCCTCAGCTGCCAAACAAAGGGTGTCTGAGCACAAGCCCTGCCATGCACCTGCAGTCATACAACCAGGTATCACTGGAGCTTTTGTGTGTACCAGAGCAGGTGTGCACCACCTGCATGCAAAATGACCACGTGCAAAATCCCAGTGGAAAGAGAATTTTTTTCTGTATAAGAAACTGTAGTATGTTCAGAGCATTATGCAACTACCACACTATATTGCTAACGGGTTTTTTTAACACGCTCTGGTTTTGACATTTTTGTAACTATTTCTTAAAACTTAGCCAGCCACAAAACACAGACAAAAGTGGCACATCATGACTGTTGACAACATCAGACAGATAAATACATTTTCTCTAAATTGAAGAGGTGTTGAAAAAATATGTTTTTGAGTTCACATGAAGATGCATTAAGTTATTAAACCATTCTAAAGGGCAGAAAGCTTGCTTTCTGAGTTTTGGGTTCTTTTGGTTCACAAGAGGAGGTCTGGCTGGATCTTTCCATCTGCTGTGCTAGCTGTTAGTGCAGATGGTCATAATCTGTACATATGGTGTGTGCATATATAAACCGAAATCAGCGTTGTCTCGGGTTATAAGCAGGCACACAGAATGAGCTCGGATGCCTGACACAAGAATATTGGTAAAGGATATAATTCAGAGCATTTTACTTTTCTAGGGGAATTTCACATGGAGCTCGGGAAATAAATATTTGCTGGAGGGTGGGGGAGAGGAAACAACTTCAGCTCAGAAAACACAAAACCTGGATCACGAATTTGTTTGGAATCAGGTTTTGGCTTTAGCTCAGCCCTGAATCTGTGCCAGACTTTGGTTTAAACTGAAACAACCCTAAAATTACCCAAACTCCTGATGAGTAGCTACAACACCCAGAAGCAGTACAGTTATCCTGACTTTGAAGTTCATGCTTTTAACTCAGAAAGAAAGCTGGAGGAGAGGATTCTATTTCTGAAAGAGAAAATGGCTTTCTAGTCACGTAAAGAAGAAAAAAAACAAAACCATCTTCAGAAGTTAAGTGACCTTCAGATCTGAAGTTGCTATTTAAGCCAATCTTTCTACCATTAAATGGTTGTTGAAACTGATGGTGATTTGAGAAGGAATGTAGTTAAAAAACGTACATTCCAATGAATCATGGGTAAATCTAACAGATAGGAAGCTGTTCTGCCACCTGTTGTAGTACCTGGTTAGTGCCACTGAAAACTACCCATGAAGCATGGTTAAAAGAGCTTCCATAAAGCCCCACACTTCTCCCTTATTTGAGGAAATCTGTAGGAGACATTCACAACTTACACATATACCAGTGTTTGCACTTATTAAACATTTTGCAGCACATCACTGAAAAAAATTCACAGGAAAAGCAAGACATGAAGAATTCATCTGATATGACCAAATACATTTTTAACATTTCCTTTATCTCTGTGTAGCTTCTGCAATACAGCTTATTGGAAATATTTGCCCATTCATCAGAAAAGCTAACTGTCAGAACAGAAAATCATGGCTCTTCCTTCTAACTCTTTTTTCTTTCTTAGTGTCTGCTCTGCTATTCTCCTTGTTAGACTCTCTTCTGCTATGAAAAAGTCTCACATACTCAGCTGCAAGAGTAGAAAAGAAATGTGTATTGACTTTGAAAGGATTACTGCCATTCTTGCATGACTAAGCTTCTACTTTTCTTATTACAGGTTTGTTTTGTGAATTTAGATGCAAACAGAGATGATTGCAGTAATGAACAAGTGAAACAGGTAACAGTTTAGGTTCTAATAGCATGTACAGTGGGTATATATATGCCAGGACTTTCCAAAACAAGCCCAGAGCAACGTTCTATGGGCAAATCAAATCCAAACTTAAACTTTTACAGAAAGCAATGTATCAAGAATCTTGTATCGTTTTAACACCTACCTTATTCCCATTCTAGAAACAGTTACTATATTATCACAGCCTATGAATTGACAGCATTTATCCTTTCAGTGGACTTCTTGCTCAGCTTCAGTTTTGTCAGAGAAACGAATAAGGATGTATCATACATCCAGTTATTTAATTTTATACAATACTAAGTCAAAATAATTTCTGAAGTCAATCCTTGCTACTTCCAGAATTCTGACACTTCAATCAACTGACCTATTTCACTCAAACTGCAGGTGGTTTGAAGGAAGGACTAGATAAAACAAAACAAAGTGTGTTTGACCTGTTTAGCTGAAAGTTTGGAGGAATAGAAAAAGGAATTATACAGGCTGCTCTAGAAGTAGTGCCTCCTATCTGTTTTCTTGGAAACTACAGCAGATGCAAAGGGCAACATAACACTATTTGATAGAACAAATACTCAGCTACAGAACACTGTTTTTCAGCAGTCATTGCCATTAGCTATGCATTTTTGCCAGTGATGAACAAGAGCCTATATGCTGCACTCAGAAATCTGCACCATTTACAGTGACCATTTCACAGCCACTATAATGGTATAATTACTAGGAAAACATTGTCCACACAATCCGTCTTTGTGCAAGCCAGAAGGCACCGTAAATAGTGGATGTGGTATCAGCCAAGAGTGGCAGCATTCTTCATGATCTTAAATTGGAACAGGGCCTGGCATTATCACGATGCAAGAGAGATTTTGTTCTTCTCTAGCCTGATACCAGAAGTTTGAGCTTTCAGCTTTATCAGCATCAAGGTTCCAGAAAATCAAGAAGGATCACCCCTTTCCTACACAGAAAGACAGTGCACTTCACTTTACCTGCTGAGGGCTGCATCTTGAATTTTTTCTTTGATGGAGAATTCATGTGTCACCATTTTACAGACTGCCACTTCGATTCCAGATCATAATCGTGACACTGCATCCCATCACTTGTAATGATGCAATCCAGGAAACCGTCATCTTCAGCCTTGTATTGGTTCAGTAGGTCCTGGCAAACTTACATAGTGTTCTTTCTGTTCCTGTGTGAGCACTTGTGGGACACACATGGTGCAAACTTCATGATATTCCAAGTTTTTCCACCACCATTTCCAATGTAGATATTCAGCTCTACACACAGCTTCCGGGCTGCAATCCACCAGTTCACAAGGATGAAGTGATGGAGATAGTCTTCATTTTGTGGTGCAACAGCTGTACATGACCATCCAGACTATGCCTTGTCTTTTTTGTTGCTCTCACCACTGCTGAAATGTACCACCCACCCCTCTTCATAAATGCCTGGCAAGTGTAAATGAATGTCAGTGAGTGCCATTTTTTTCTGCATGAAGGAATTCAGTAACACGTCTTTGCTTCGTAGGCACTTCTATGTCAGACACCATTTTGTTTGACTGCCCCTCTGCTGCCATCTGTCACACCGCAACAAGATGTAACAGAATATTGGCAGGAGGTTCAACCTCTACTGCCATACCACCAACATCTGCCTCTAAGATTGTAGGCCAACATAATAAAAGAGGAGGCATTACTTTCAGAGCAGCCCTTGTATATAATTATTATGATATATAAACATAATATATGCATAAGGAAAAAAGTTTAGTCAATTTACAGGTCCTAAGATGAAACACATCATGATACACTACTTAAATGCATGTACTTATAAAAAAAAAAGTCCTGAAATCAGAGGAGTCGTATTTTAAATAATCAGTTTTGAACTTCAGCCTCCTTTATCAGTTCATTTTATCATTCTGGCTTGGCGCCTGAAATCAACTAGCTTATAGCAGCAGTCTGTGATAAGTGACCAAAGGGTGGGTTTCCTGACTGTCCAGGGAGACCCTCAATAAAGTATTCAGGTTCATCTGTGGAACCATTTTAGAACGTGGAAGGACAACCAACACAGGGACCTAGCTACATCCTGCAAGTCATAAATTAGCAGGAACTGTTTTTCTATACTATTTTCTACGTCCTGAGTCTGTGCGAATTCAGATATCAAAATAAATACAGCTTCTTGCAGCAGGAAGATTTTTCTGTTGCATCAGTGAGTAACTGCAGAACAGACAGGTTTAATTTTACTGAATCTACAGGAATAACTGCTTTTTAATGAGCAATGCTTTCACTGCAACTTAAAGTGTTTGAGGAACAAAAGCTATAGGAAATGAGAACTAAGAAAACATCAAAACATCTCATACTCAATCTTAAAAGCTAGATAACCATGTAAAGGCAAGTTAAGCTAGCTGTATGCAGCTACTCTTTCTTTTTTTCTTCTCATAACCAAAATGCAAGGTGCTGAAGTAAAAGATATTCAGAAGTGTGATGATTTAATACCTAAAAAAATCTGATAAAAATGCAGAAATTTAGGCAGAAGCCAGATACGTAAAAAAAAAAAATGTATGTCATAACTGAAAGGTTATAATTTAAAAAAATAAGAAAACATGAAAACTTTTCTGTGCTATAGTGGAAAGTCAAACTGAATTGAAACACTGAATTTAGTTATGATAAATATGAATATTTTGCCTCATCTGAAGATCAGTGTACTTAGTGAATTGCTCCCCAAAGTTGAATTCGAATTGCTAAGCCAGGAATTCATATCCAGTTTAATTCACTCTGAGGAAATATAATAGTACTGCAAGTTAATCATTTTGTAGATGAGAAGGAAGTAATCAGGTATCACTGAATTGCACAGTAACTAAAGCGTGGGACTGGATACCTGGGGACTGTGTTCCCTTAATGGCTTCGCCATTTAATAAGTTGTGTTCATGTAAAAAACAAAAAAGAGCCTGTATTTAGCCCCTCTGTTAGAGGGTTATCCTTGATTTATTGTTTATAAAGCACACTGAGATCCACGGCCAAAAAGACCTGCTTTAAAAATACTTGCAGTTATTATCCTCCTGAGCTGGGCTGTGTACACTAACGAACACAGATCTCCCAGCATGGCAGTGGGAACTTCTGGCAGAATGGAGGTGCAGATCTCCTGTGTTACAAACCATCACTGATGTTATCGTTACTGCCATCTTTGGCCATAGCAAATAAATAACAGGACAGAAAGTAATGGCATTATTTTAAATGAAAGGTCGTGCCCTCTGAAGCAGCAAAGAAGTGCACAGTCCATCTATGCTTTCAATGCTTTTGTTACTCCACATTTAGTATTGCTCTAGTTTGATTAGTGATTTTCAACTAAAATTTCCCTCTGGTTTCTTGCTTTTATACCTAGAGGAAAATAAAGCTTTACTCTATTCTCCTTACCACAGTTACTGAATCTTTTCCAGTTTTGACAGTAACAGATACACTGTTCTCAGTCTCAAGAACTTTCTAGGAACACAAGGCAAAGCGTTTAGATGTGCAAAGACAATCAAGCTGTTCAATACATGACAGCATTAAGAAATGGCAGATTGTGCCACTGGACTGTTGGGCAGAATTTATGCTAACCCAGTGGTCGTGGCCTGATGGCTCAGAAGAAGGAATGTGCATTTTAACACTGCCAGTTCTACTTATGATGAGCTCAAAGTAGCAAGTTTAAGCTTTCTGAAGGAATGCTGAAGTGCTATTTCATTTCTATATTTGTAGATATAATTATGCAACTCAGACTTCATTACCTGAGAGCAAAATTTCTTTTCATTCTACAGAAATTGATCAGCATCTCTCCAAACCTCCCTAAACTCATCAGTTCTATGAATGTACAACCACCAAAGGAAAACGAAATAGTCCTGCTGAGCGGATTAACATCAGGAAATCTTCAGGCTGATTATGAAGTTCCCCAGGTAGGAATCAAATCATCCTTTAGTAGAATATCACAGCTGTGAAGGAAGGAATTTGGAAACTGGAAAAAAAGAGAGTCCTTTCCGAGTGGACTGTATAGACGTTTAAAAACTGAGTGGGAGCTGGCAAACAAAAAAATAGATGTGACTACAAGAAATTAAGCATCTAAAGGGAGAGGACAAAGATAAGAGATCCCTCTAGATCCTGTGGATGTCTGGTTTGCAGCTGATAATGCTACAAGGCATTAACAGCTGATAGGGAAAGGAGAAAGATGCAATACTGTTTCCGTACACATAGCTGCATCAGGGCACAGCTCCTACAGCCTCCTGTTCAAGTGAAGTCTTGCTGCCTCCTGCTTTTTTGCCCAATCCATCTTGTCCCACACAGCCAAATCAAAAAAGAGCTGACAGTAGGACTTGAAGATCCTGGAGACTTCCCTAAGCCTCACTGTTACAGTGGAAAATATCAAGATACATTAACTATATCAGAGCTCATTTAGCTTCTGTCAATGTAAAAAATAATAATAATAAATGCATTAATTAAAACTTAACATTTAAAGGAGCTGAAAGAAAAGTTCTCATTCTAGCTCTTGCTGTTGCCAGTGAAATTCTCCATATCTGAAATTGCAGGCCAGAAATTCCTCCTACAGGCACCATGAAGAAATGATAACATTTCTTTAAAAGCATTTCAACACATGATTTCCAGAGGCTTAACCCATTATAAGTCTTCCACTCTTTTCCATTTTTAACATGCTTTTTTTTTTTTTTTTTTTTTTTTTTTAATGTTCATGCCTACATGAAGAAAAAGAATGAACAGTTCTTTGATAGTTTAGGTTGGGTTCTGATTTCATTAGTCTAAGTATGAATTGGGAAGAATTTCATTAAAATTGTAGAGATGTCCTGGAGTATAAAATTGTCTCAGCAAACTTTAAAGCAGTATGTAAATGCAGTTTTGTCTGCATAAAAAAAGAAAAACAAAATTTAAGACTAACCTAAATTTGTTTTGTTTTGTTTTGTTTTAAATGAGTAGAGGTTTTGTATTGAGGTGGGGTGAGATTTATTGGCTAGACAAGCAAATGCTGTGTTGATCCTTATTATTTGCTCAGCTCTCCAGAGAATTTCAGAGCTGCATCATTTTCACTGGGTTTCTTGAGTTAAGGCATGAAATTACAACCCGCAAAAAATTGGTTTTGCTTGACAGTGCATCCCATAGCACAAACGTAGTGTCATGCAAGGATATTAACAACTTAGCTTTGTGGTCATATAAACATCCAGCACTTCTGATACCCATAACACAAGGATAACAAATTATTTTCCCTCCATTTCTTTTCCCACCTTCCTCCTTAATTGTACACCTTCACTGACAAAGATTTTTTATGTAAAGGTTCAACATGGTGCTTTCAATTGGAGGTTATACTGGTCTGAAGTAATAGGGTTTGGGGCAAATAAAGAACAAGAGGGAGAGGAAAATAAATTGCTATTTTTAAATAGTTCCTAAGGATACCTGAAGGTGACCTGCTCCTTATCTCACCAGCCAGTATGAACAAGGCTGCCTTAAGAACAAGCAAAGCAGCAGAAATTATCCTGAAAAGCAATTCATGTCCACAAACAATTCCCTCCAGAGAGAGGTAATAGTAGGTGGTGTGAGGGCTGTAGTAATGGTGTGTCCGGTAGCCAACTCCAACATAGCTAAAAGCAAGACTGTCATTAAAATAAGAGGCTGATTGAAAAAAAAACTTGGTGATATCAACAAAATAAGGGCACTCCTGTGATACAGCTGGGTTCTGTACTAAAATGCTTGTGTAACAGAAGATGCCAATCCAAATGGTCTTATTTTGGCATATATGTAACTGCACACTGTGTTAGAATCTAAATGACAAATTGTATTGCATCTTTGCAACAGAACATTCCTGAGATTTTTCTAGAGGAAAGCATAAAGTTCTATTTTTTAATTAAATAACTCTTTGAGATTCTTTTCCCCTCTAGTGTCCTTGGCAAGCAGATGTCTGCTTGGTTCAGTGTGCAAAGGGAGACAGGAAGAACAGTGCAAGCTGCATCATCTTCGAAATAAACAAGTTTCTGATTGGGCTTGAGCTTGTTCAGGAGAGACAGCTGCAGATAGAAGCTCATGTCTCAAAGCCTGAGGACGACACAAACTGCTCAGTGTCCTCAATAGAAGAAGATTTCCTCACAGCATCTGAGCATCTCGAGGAGGAAAACGAGGCTGATGAATATAAAACTGGTAAAAGCAATGAGGCCGAGTGTAATTCTGCTATTGTTCATTGGCAGAACAGCCATGGCAATTGTTACAGAAATTGCACTTCATGTTAATTTATGCATGTATTTATATGTAATTTAGAAAAAGGATAGCCATTCATACTTTTAAATTGTAGTTCAGACGGAAGGATAATTGTTTGTATAGCAATTTTACAGAGCAGTAATGCATTAGTTACGCAGCTATTTTTGTTTTAAAGATACAGGGTACTCTGCAAAGACTAACATCTTACTTTTCTTTCAGCAGCCCATGAAAAAATAAGTGTTTCAGAAGCATCTTCTGATGTCAGAAAAAATAAAGGAAAAGGATTTGAAAGTCTCCACTACAGAAAAGCCAGGTTGCCATTAATTCTTGAAGGGAATTGCATTAATGAAGATAATACAGCTAGTAAAGTCTCTGAAGCCGTACATATTGTGGCAGAAGATGGCACCTCACAACCTGAAGATAAGCCAGAGCAGGACATCCTGTGTCAAAAGGAATTAGTGGGAAGAGCTACATCATCTCTCAGTACTGAGGATTCCTGCTCAGTGAGTGTATTAGATGCATCTTTAACCAAAATGGCTAAAGAAGAGCTGGGGCCTCTTTATGACTCTACAGCAAAACCCAACAGTAAGGCAGAGGTAGAGGATTGTGCAGGTGTTAGGAAAAGCGACCCTCCCTTGCAAAACAAGCAAGCAGCTACAGGTCAGTATGCTACAAATTTAGCAGAATCTGTTCTGCAAGATGCATTCATTAGACTATCACAGTCTCAACCCACTTTCAGTGAGGAGGCTGCAGTCAGCATCTCCGTAGGAAGCTCCTGCAAGTCAAAAGATGCATCTGCTTCTCGATCATGGAATGAACTTCCAAAGATTGTCATAGTGCAGAGTCCAGACAGCAGTGAGAATGTGCCAGAGTGGCCAGGGTCTGCCTTCCCAAACCTGTGCCACTGGACTGAAACAGAAAGCTCTGAAGTTTCAGATTACTTTGAAGACAACCATTCAAACAGACACAGCCAGAGTGCACTGGAAATGGCTCTGGCTTGTGCAGCAACTGTCATTGGAACCATTTCAAGTCCACAGGCAGCAGAAAAATTCAGAAGGGATCAAGAAGCTGCAGACTCTAAAAGCGAAACAGGTGATAATGAAGATCTACACACAGATTCTTCGCAGCTACTTGAAGACTGTACTAGCACAGAATATTCATTTCCATCTGCACTGTGTGGCATGACTCAAGTAGCAAGTGCTGTAGCAGTCTGTGGTCTGGGAGAAACAAAGGAAGAGAAGTACCCTGCAACTTCAAGTGGGCTGCTGTCTGCAGCTCAGACTTCTGCAGCCATTACTCTTCATTGTAGCATAGCTGTAGGAAGCAGCATGGAAAAGCTGAATGATAGCATTGCAGAGGCCCTTCTCAAAGAGGCATCAATAATTTTGACAAAACCCAATACATACAAAAATGTAGGGCATTTTATGGAATCCATAAATGGAAGAATTATTGAAACAGCAGCAAGGCCACGGATTCCACACTCCGATGAAGTAATCAGAGATGAACTGGCACAAAATTTATCCAATATTATTCTACGACATTCTATTGAAGAGGTCAGAAAGAAAAGAGAGCTACAGTCCCGTTCAGAAAACAGCTCAAGTACACAAGACATTTTCATGGAGACTGCCAATGAGTTGCTTTTTAACGTGATATATTTCACTTGCAAGAAGATAAACGACATAAGACAAGTTGAAGAGTGTTCTCCTCTCTTTTCTGAAGGCCTGAAAGGCAAGAAGGTAACCAGAGTAGAAGAATGGCCAACACAGGCAACTGCATGTGAAACATCACACAGACCCCTTGATCATTCTGCTATTAAGTCATTTGGTACATCCTACAATGCTAGCAAAGACACTGAAAACGGTATCAACGTGAAGAAAATTAGCATGAGAGATGCAAATAGCAATGAAAGTGCCACCCTGAATTCAGAGCTAACAAGTAAAGCTATTGGGCATAATGCACTTGTTGCAAAAACATCTCCCAAGAAAAGATACCTGAAAAGAACCACACGAGACTGTTACAAGTCCCCAAATCAGGGTAACATTCAGAAGAAGAGAGACTACAGATCATTTTCAGACAGAGAAAGTACCTTTGCAAACAGTGAATGCAGGCATGGTGTTCAGGAACAACTGTCTTCCAGTGTCGCCATGAATGCAGAAAACCAGGCCAAACATAAGTGTGATGCTGTGCTAAGTGATGAAGTCCAAGTTAGCTTGTCTTTGTTAGGAAACCACATCTTACTTCCTTCTCAACCTGCACTACAAGTGAAAAATTCAAGAGACAAATACTGTATAACAGATTTTGCAGAAGAATTGGCAGAAACAGTGGTCTCTATGGCAACAGAAATAGCTGCCATTTGTCTTGAAAATTCAAATGGAAAGCAGCCCTGGTTCTGTGCATGGAAGAGAGGCAATGAATATCTGGTGACCCAGAGTATATCATGCAGAACTATGAAAAGGAAAAAGGAAACCCATGCTAATGGCTCAGTTGTTCGGAAGCATAGGGCACCTCGGCTTAGTGAGATCAAAAGAAAGACAGATGAGCATCCTGAGCTGAAGGAAAGGTTGATGAATCGAGTAGTAGATGAATCTATAAACCTGGAGGACACACCAGATTCTGTCAATATCTTTGCAAATGAAGTGGCTGCAAAGATCATGAACCTCACTGAACTCTCTGTGGTTGACAGCATCTGGCAAGGTCCAAACCATCCCAGGAACAGGCTGCACTGTGAAAGATGGAGCCGAGCCAAGGCGTCAAGCTGTGAGAGCATACCAGAGGAGGATACAGATTCCAAAGCCTCTGTCAATACTCTAGGCCTAATGAACGCCTTTGGTCAGCCTGTGAGCCAGACAAGTTCCGTCTCAAAGCAATCTAGTTGTGAAAGCATTACAGATGAGTTTTCAAGATTTATGGTGAACCAAATGGAAAATGAAGGAAGAGGCTTTGATTTATTACTAGATTATTATGCAGGAAAAAATGCAAACAACATCTTGACTTCTGCTTTGCAACAGGTTGCTAAGAAAAACGGTCATCTTAACGTACGACCAAGTTGCCCATCTAAGCAGTCCAGCACAGAAAGCATAACAGAAGAGTTTTACAGGTACATGCTGAAAGAAATAGAAAAGGAAAATAAAGATAATGCATCTTCCCCTCGGAATTCAAAGGACTGGTGTGGCAGTTTGCTACCACCCTCCCTGCGATCACCTTTTTGCTTTAGACAGTCCTCAGTGCCTGATGGCAGATCATCAGGTTCTAGACTGACAGTTAACATCCCAGTCAAAGCAAATTCATTAGATGGATTTGCCCAGCATCACCAGGATTCCTTAAGTGTACAGCCAGTCAGTACAGTGGCTTCTTCAGGTCTTTGCAAGTCTGACTCATGCCTGTACCAAAGATGCAAGACTGACCAGATAACAGATATGTTGATTCATGAGACGTGGGCAAGCTCTATTGAATCTCTAATGCGCAAAAACAAAATCATAACAGATGAGGCAGAGGTTGCAGAGGCAGATCATTTTCACAGCGATTCCCCACCACATGTGCAACAGTATGCGAACAGACTGGCTGCAAATATTGTTGAAAGTGGTAAAAATTTAATTGTTGTCCAGCAGGATGCCTTTGATTCTGCAAGCCAAGAACACATGCTGGAAAGCAAACATCCCCAGAGTGCAACTCGGATTCAAGTAGAACCCAAAAGGGATGAAATAAATTTGGATGAGCAGAAGGAGCACGTGAAGAACCCTGAATGCCTCCCTGCAGGTCAGCACAGGGAAGTGCCTTTAATTCAAATAGAAACTGATCAACGAGATGAGTCAGATAAAGACTCTGAGTCCTTAACTCTACATGAACTTTCTGAAAGGGAGCATCAAGGCAAGGAAAAGCCTCCAGAAGCTTATACTGGGAAGCACATGGTTTCCAGTACCCTACTGAATAGGTAGGTGACCAAACAACAAATCAGCACGTTGTTTTGGTGTTTAATTTCCCAGTGAAAATTAGCTTGGTGATGGCAGAAAGTAAGGGAAGAATCACTGTGGAAGAAATAACCAGAGTAGAATATCTCTACATATCCTCAAATTACATAAAAGCACCAAGTGACACATCAGTACTAATTTGTGTAGCAAACATATGCTGAATATAACTGTGTTATGGCTCTGAGGTTCAAAACTAATACTGTATTAATGAGCAAGTTTTCCCTAACAGATACCTAAGTCTTCCTTAAATCAAGACAGGACAGATTTAAAAAGTTGAGCTTTCATTTAACATTTGTTGATATCTCAATTTAAGAAAAAAGTTAAAAATTAGGGCAAACGTGGAACAGAAGATAACTGAATAAGAGGTGAAGATCTCTACTGTGGTTATGTTACTGATGTTTGTGTTCCTGGAAACACAACCAGACTTCAGAGAACTTGAAGTTCAGCTTTGTGCTTGCAGTTTGGAAGAAAAATTAAAATTCTTTAACACAGGCAGAAAAAAAAAAAAAAAAAAAAAATTAAAAGCACCCTTCAACTACCAGCCTTCAACTTCCTGGCCAGTATTCAAATAAAGGGTAAAATTTCATTTCAGGGAGTCCATACCATGGCCTACCACCCTCTTGTTACAGCTGTACTCCTGTTGAAGAATTTGCATCTTTGGTTAAGGCAGAGAGAGCACAGTGGAAATGCAGAAGATTGCTATGGATGTTGTGAGGTTAAGAACAAGACAGTCTCTCAAGACATTACCTATTTTTAACTGTACCTCTTAATCATATTTATTACTTAAAACGGTAACTAAGCTGCCTATCACTTGGAGATTTTCAGCACCCCATTATCTCAGAGTGCTAGAAAGATGCTTGTGTTCAAAACCATTCTGACAAAACTCTACTTGAAGTGAGAAAGCACATACTTCTCTGTCTGTGGCAGCAATTAGGTGGATAATTACAACAGTCTAAATTCTTTCATACTGGCTCCCTCCCACTCACCTTCCTCTTCCTTCAAGCGTAACCTGCTTTTAAAATACATTTAGAAATCTGTCTATTTGAATCTGTTTGAAAATGGAGTTATTTCCTGCACAGTTTATGAGCCATTTACTAATGTGCTCCTACAAGGTCATTAGTCCCACAGAAATCTCACATGTGGGACCAAGCAGATCGAGTATTGTCTGCTTCCTGCCCTGTGTTAAATAGCCTCTAGGTAACACTGTCACCTTGCTGCTTGGCTGCTCGTGATGATGAGTTTTGTGTCCAAGAGATCGGGGATGACAGGTTAGGTTGTCCAAAAAGATGATAACAACTTGGTAGATCATAGACCCTCAGGCAGATACACCCCCTTTCTCTCTATCCAGGAGGCTGCTTCTCTTTCACTAACACCCAGCATTAATGCAGCAACTTCTCAGTTGTCCCCACAGCAAGAGCACAGCAAAAGCGCATACTGACAATGATCACATCTCACTATATTCTTAGTCAAGTAAATCACTTGCAATACAATGTTTGGGTTAATCTCTTCTTTTAACTGAAGTCAGGATGTTTGCCGACATCTACAGATAAAAGCCTAGAGAAATTGTCAGTTCAAGGGAGATACTCTAGAGCTACATAAAATTTTCTTTTAATTACAGAATTGCAAATGCAAACCCATAAATATAACAAAACTACAGTTTTGCTTTAGCTATTACTCTGGTGCAGCAGTGATTCATTATTTATATTCCAAGAAAAGAGATGCTTCTTTTAATTATTAAATATTTTTCTGCCTGCATAACTAAAGACCCCTGGTAAATCCTACAATACCCAGTTTGCCTCTGAAAAGTTACCTTAACTATATTTTTATGTATATATATATAATTTTACATTTGTGTCATATAAATATGCACGTGTGTGACAAACACATCAAGCGTGTAGAATTAGAAGGCATTTTTTCCTATGTTCTCCAAATTCAGTACTGGAAAATACTTTTCCACAGTGAAAATATTTTTCACTTTGTTTTACTTTTTAGCTTCCTATAAACAGTCTGAACGTTGTCTTTCCTGTATTGCTTTAAAACAGCTGACTTTGAAATGCGTTGAGTAAAAAAAAAAAAAATAATAAATCTGCGTGTTTCTGCTGTATTTAAATAAATCAAAATGCATTTCAAGCAATTCAGAAAAACATACACAAAATAGAAATGAGAGTCTTTTAGAAGGTAGCATTATCAGTGAAGATGCTGCACAAAATATTCTTCATGTAAGCTTGAGTGAGGGTTAAAACAAAAGTATCACAGTAGAATGATCTAATCAGAGATCCTGCAGAGCTCAGAAAAGATGAAGTTGGATCCATCTAGTTGCTATTATTTTACTTCTGAACTGGATAATATTTTTGTCTTCTATTACATTCTATACTTTTATAATTATAACAATTCTGAATTTCTTGTGCATATATAGTACATTTCTACTTTTGTCATACACCAGTAACTGGAGGATAAAGTCTGAACATACTATACAGAACTCAGTGCAGAACCTCAAGCGCTAATAACTAAAGCTGGCATTAGAAAAGCAGGCAAGGATACCACATTTCTGACTTTATCCTCAATTATACCTCCCCAGCTGAAAAATATTCATGAGTGTACATATAACTAATTTTAATTAGTGGTCCAATAGAAATAAAAGATCCCATTAAAAAAGCAAAAAACCTTGGCAACATATGCTGTCATTATGCTCTAGTGCTTAACCCCCATATTTCAAACACTGATTGGCTGAAGGACATTAAGATCTAAACTGTAAGCAGTTCTTTCTGTACAGATTAAACCTTTCCTATTCATATTGCAGTACAGGGCTTACTTAGTTTTGTGTTAGTTTATAGCACTCGTAGGAAGACCATTTTTAAAGAGCATTCCCAGCCATGTGTTCAACTAGAGTTCATGTAAGAATTGTCTAGACAATTGAATTTGTCTAGCCTCTTGCATCTGTACAGTTTATGCACCTTGGTTAAACTGAATGAGGAGCATTACCTGAAGATTGGCAGTACCGGTTTTCCTGTATTACCATTATTCCTTGCCACCCTACCAGCAAAAGCACTCAGAGCAAACCAGATGCTGAAATCACAGGAGAGACAAAAGCAGCTGAAGAATTTCCAGTACACCTCAGCAGCAGTGAAGAAAGCACTGGCAGCTGGTCCCAGCTAGCCAATGATGAAGACAATCCTGACGACACGAGTAGCTACTTACAACTCAGCGAACGATCTCTGAGGTACGAATACTGTCTATTCTTAGTATGCATTATACTTTAATCAATCAAGCCTATGACTTGATTAGCATGTGTCAGGAATGAGGAGTAATAGCTCAAGATTTACTGAGAATACTATAAAGGAAGATCAGATGATGAAAAAAGCAGCCACATCCTGATTTTAAACCAGGTCTTTGTATTGGTAAGCAATTAGATTGAGTCAATGAAAGCACGTTCTTGCTCAACCCTGTGCAAGTGCCTCAGTCCTACAGTGAAGGGCCACCAAATAAACTAATCGTTGTGGCCTTTCCTTTGCTTTATTTGCTACTATTTCCACAATGCTTATCATGGCATCTGCTTAGCTGAGACTGCTGTTCCCAGCAAGTATCTGTGCAGTTAAGGAACAAGTAGCACCCTGATCTGCATAGACCAGCATGGGGAACAGCTTGAAAGAGAAGGGCTGAACTTGCCCTGAGTAGGCATGAATTCCAGTGCCCCTATTGCACTGTACTGCGTTCCTCCTTAAGTCAGGATGTGTTTAAAGATGTTACATGTACTCCAGGGACTAGATAAAGCGATGTTAGTTTGACTTCACAAACTTCCACAACTTCAAATTGAGCAAGGTCTTTTCTTCACACGATCTTAAATTACATTTTTAAATACTCTCAAGTAATTACATCTTTCCTGTGGATATTAAGACAGAAAGAAAAGAAGAGAGTATGGTAATGAAGCAAGAAAACGGAAGTCTGTTAGAAATCACTGTTGGCTAGCAGGAAAAATACTGAACAAAGCATGTCTGTCAGTATGAGTGAACATTTATCTCATTATTCTAGTATCAATCCTTTGACAATATCAGGTTATAGAGAGGTAATGCATCGTGCCTTTTAGCTCATTGAAACAAAGTGTTACCACAAACCTGAACACGTGGCATTCTGATACTGACTCAAAAACCTGATAGAGAAAAGAACTGTCTGGTCAATCCCTCAGATGTAAGGCAAAACAGTTTCTTTTCTAAAATAAATTAAGTGGCAAGGCTTACTTAACACACAGAACAAACTGGTGCTATTTGATAGCAAATTCACAACCTGTTTTTCAGACTACATAAACGTTCACTGTCAAGTTTATAGCAATGTTATAAAGCAAACATACTGTTTTTCCCCCAGATACTCTCAGTTGTTTTACTTCAACTTTGTGAAGTAGTTAAAGAATGCTTCAAGGTAGTAATGGTCCCAGGTAGCACTGGCTTTAAAATTGAAAGTCTTTCAGAGTAGCCAGAACCCTAAGGGATTATCACTGTACCAGTGGGGTCCATCAGATCCCGAATAGTATTTGGGATAGGATGTAATATACTGAAACAGACGCAGCACAGGATCACCCAACAGGTAAGTAGTATGATAAGCAGCCTTGGCGCGCGCACACACACACACGTGCCCTCCCACTCCTTGACATAACCCTCAACTTTCAGAGGTACCTGAATCTCTGAAGGTTTTTCCAGGACACCTCTGTACTTGGTAATCTTTCTTTTCATTTCAGTGGCACATGCAAACTGTTTTCTTGTTTGATTCCAAATGCTCATTGCATAAGCCATTCACAAGAAGATAGCCTACTATTATTTATTTTCAGTTCACAGCATTACTTTGCTACATGATCTGCCTAGAGCTATTTTAATAAAACCTCATTACTTTAAACACATTAGCATGCTTCATTCTGAGAACCACTTGATGAGCACAGTTGTGTTTGTAGAACGTGGGACAGACTCCTCACTTTACTTTCTGCAGAAAAATAATGCATGGAGATATGTTCAGTGAAGCTTGGCACTAATATTTAAACTTTTGCTTTGTCAGCAATGGCAACAGCAGTACAACTAGCAGTCTTGGCATTATGGACCTGGAAATTTATCAGGAAAACATGCCACCTTCTCCTATGATTAAGTAAGTAGTCACTGAAGTGAGATTTGATGTTTAGACTAGTTTTAACTGCAAATCGTTTACACCATCTAAGATGTGCCAAGCCCTGCTTTGCACCTGCTGCTTAGCCTACCATTAGTTTCAGAAAGGTACACATGCAGGTGTCTGTGGAGTGTGACAGCATTAGGCAGTGAAAGATTACAGGAAAAGCCACCCAGGTGGACGGATCTCTCAAAAGAACACAAATCCATCAGCTGTTCTACCTAAAGGAGAGCTTTCTGTCTTCTGGGTATCTATTTTACATTGTGTGAACTTTCTTCTCTGAGTAACTTAAAGTACTGTCAAAGCTTTAATAGAACAGCTATTAAGATCAAGTAAATAAGGATCAATTAAATTGAAAAAGAAAAGAAAGATACTCTTGGAAAAATGCTAGTATTATGTCTTAAGTATTTTTCTGAGCATATTTCTACTGAGCATGCAATAAAATTGTCAAGAGATGTACAAGTATCTGCCTAAAGAATCTAAGACCCTGGGACAAGGTGTGACCAGCCAGCTGGTAAATGTCATGATGCAGACAGGGCACAGCCACTGTAGAAGCACATGGACTGTACATCACACATTGAATACAGGAACTTTGACATCAGATCTTCACAATTACCAGAATATCCTACAACAAGCTACCTTGCTTTTGAGAGGCTCTTTTCTGTAAGAAATCTGGATGTTTGTATTTTCACTGCATGCATTCTCTCTGAGCTACCAATTAGGACTCTAACCATATCAAAACTTCCACATCTTAACATTAAGCAGAGGCACTTCCTATACGAATTCCTAACGTTGACCCAATTGGTCTCCTTTCTAAAGACTACAGGGATACATAACCAATTCCCCATTAGCTTGCAGTGGCTACTTTCAAGTGTTAGCCAACAGGGTTGAGATCCTGGCAGAACAGATGTTGTGGAGAACAGCACCACCACTTGGAGCAATTTGTCCTCACCCAAATCAAAGTCATGGTACAGAACTCAAATGCTACTCAAACAGAAAGCTGAAAAAAAAAAATCTGATGGGAAAGATGCTGTTAGGCAGCTGCAATTCTAAATCATGACAAAATATACATTGCATGCTGCCATTTTATTCTTTCACATCTGTAGTAACTTATATCTGATCTTGATCCTTTGAAGCCTTAGGGAAGATTGTGACAGCTTTGTGGAAGAGGGTGGTAAGGGTAGTGTCTCCCATGTGGGAGACAAAGCCTTACACTTGTGTTGTTCTTGGTTGAGGACAGGATGGGATAGTCCAGAAATGCGTAAGCTATCCCTCCAGAAGCAAGGGAACAACTACCACAATTATAGCTTCAAACCTGAACTTACAGGTTCCTACTAGATGTGTATGAGCATGGGCATTATATTCAGAAGTGAAAACTGAAGCAGTGAAAACATACCTGAATTTTGTTTCCTATAGTTTAACAAGAACAGTGGAACATGAGAAGCAATAGACTTTTGAGTTTTTTTTGCAACATGAAACAGAATTTGATTATCCAAACAGATAATATATTTTAAAAGAGCAGTAGCTGAAGTCATCAGTAGTTTGTGTTTAACCTTGAAAAACGCAACTAGAAAGCAAGACTTTTGAGTTTCACCCAAGGAGTACAGCACTGAAAAATGCAGACATGGCAAATTCAGTATTTTCCCACAGCTTATTAGAAAGGTTATGAGACCTGCTGTGTCTTACCATGATGTCATCTTCAAATAACATCAAAGGAAATACACAGACTCTGATAAAACACAGTACATATTGCAACCATTGTAAGTATTTCACCACATTACAGGAAAAGCACTGCAAGTTTCTTGTTTTTTCTTGACTTAGAAATTAAACTACTGTAACATTAGGCATTTTATCACATAATACACATCATCCTGCGTAACTTTTTTCTTGCAGTTTTCTAGGTCTTACACTGGGGGAGAACTTTAACCATTGTGAAGGAATGTTATAGACTGTTCCTAACTATCACTAACAAGCCCTGTTGTTTTTTGTTCCTAAGTGACTTAGCAGAAGAAAAGGTTTTCCTTAAAGAACAGACAGATAATACAGAGGGTAAGTTGAACCATTTCAATTACAACATACAATGTGAAGTTAAAAAAAAAAAAAAAAAATTGCATAATAACTGTTGAGATTGTTTTTCCAGAAAGTACTTCTGGGCTCTCAGTGGGAACAGCTAATTATCAGAAAGAACTCCTGGTGATTAATTTTGACCTGGAACCAGAATGCCCCAACGCAGAGCTGCGAGCCACCCTACAGTGGATAGCTGCTTCTGAACTTGGAATCCCAACCATCTATTTTAAAAAATCTCAGGAAAACAGAATTGAAAAGGTAGTTTTTACAGAATTGGACATATTGCTATTTCATTTTGGTCACAGTAGCAACACTCTGCTCACAAAGAACAAAATTGCCCCTAACAGGTTCTTGGTGATAGCAAATAAAGTATTTGTGAGTAGGCCAACAGTCATATACAGAAGAAAAAGTCAAACTCACCCAACAGGCAAAGGGATCTGTGACACTACTCCTCAGGAAGCAGCATAGGTCCAAGGGATACTTTCCCCTCAGTGGCTGACCCTTACATGATCCCAAGCTGACTCCACCCTGGCTCTACCCCTGCTGATGTGTAGGGAACACAGGTGCAAACGACTTGCTTGTGCTCCCTGCGCCAGCCACACCCCTTCACCAGCTGCTCAATCAGCAGTTCGAGCCATGATCCAACAGTTCCCCTGCCAGCAATTGACTTAGTGAAGTTGCTGAGCTTAGAAGCAGATGTGAAGTCTTCATCACAGCAAGATGGGAATGCTACTGCTTGTTATAGAAAGAGAGGATTAAATACATCGAGATATAAGGTTCATAGAATTGTAGAATCATAGAATGGCTTGAGTTGGAAGAGACCTTAGAGCACGTACAGTTTCAACTCCCCCCTCTTGTGTGCTGGCTGCCCCCCCCAGCAGCTCAGACTGCCCAGGGGCCCATCCAACGTGGCCTTGAGAACCACCAGGAATGGGGCACCCACAGCTCTCTGGGCAGCAGTGCGAGGGCTCACCACACTCTCAGGAAGAGATTTCTTACTAATGTCTAATCAGTAGCTGCCTTCTTTTAATTTAAAACCATCCTTGTCCTACACTCCCTGATAGACTCCCTTCCCATCTCTCTCATTCCTCTCCATCTTTCCATGGTTGCATCTGAAGGATTCCAGACAGTTTATACGGAGTTTAAACACGTATCTGCAACAACAAAAAAAAACAAAACAAAAAAACAACCCACAACCATTTGATTGCAGACATCATATACACAAAGTTCTGCAATTCAGAGCCTACCAGCAACAAGAAACAATTATGACTTAATACATGTGTTGTACTTAAGATTTAAAGCTTTGAAATTCCCCAGTCCTTCTACAGGCTCTGCCTCACCTACTGCTCTGATCATGGCAACCTCAGGCAAGTAGGAACTTGTTTCTGGCTATCTGACAGGTTTACGTTTGAGGTACAGCACGGCCTGACACTTCAATTTGCAATTAGGTGAGAACTGCTGTGGCCAAATGCACTGCCTTTACCATTGCTTTGTGCTGGTAGAAAGGAATTGCAGTTCAGTGAGAAAAGTGTATTGCTCAAATGTTCAGAAGAGACTAAATGCAAGATAAAGATAATCTGTGCTAGATTGGGCTCAGTATCTCACATAACGAGATCTCATGGCATCTGCATCAGAGCTAGTTGAAGAACGGGAAGGATGGAACATCTGTATAGGTTGTATTGTTAAATTATTCCCAGCCAGAGAGAGAGTTTAGCAAGGGTGGTGACCAACTAGCATTTTTGGCAGGCGAATATTTGTGATCATACATCTCTTTCTTGGAAAATCAGACTGTTTCGGATCATTGTATAAAAATTGTGAAGCATCTTCCCTGTCTCAGCTACAACAAAAGAAAAAAGTTATGTATATCAGTACACTTTAGCTCCTATACAGATGTAGCTTAGTCTCCACTAATCTTCATTCTGAATGCAAAAGATTGTTTTCAGGCAGAGACAGACCAGAACTGAGAAACACCAAATTATTAGTCCAAGGTAGGACACACAGAGATAAAAACCAAAATGGCCACAAGAAATGAAGACTGTTTCTGAATAATTAATGCTCACTGGAGACACCATGAAACACCACCTTCAGCATTTCAGGAATGACAAAAATTGCCTCCTTTCCAAGTTCAGCAAGATAGCTCAAGCCATAAGGTTTACATGAAGTGTCACAGTATACAAAACAATTAATGAAAAGAGTATTATAAATCAGTATTTTCATCTTTTAAAATAATGTCTATGTGAAGATCATTTCGAGTAGCAGAGATATTGTTTGATTTTCTTGAGTACTTGCATTTGGCTATCATAAACATAATTTAAAATGCATTCAGCAGCCACCATCCAAATTGCATCTAATTAAAGAAACAGCTGTCAGCTTTACCCATGTGCTTTGGCAAACAGTTAATTCAATTGCAGGAATACACTAGAGAATAATGAAGCACATTCTGCCTACGACAGCGCTCTTGGAAATAACTGTGCCTATTAAATATTGTTGAAATACATATTAAAAGTTTAGGCTTCGGTATGTAAATAGCAAACAGCTACACTAACTGGAGACACCATATTTTCTTGGGTTGTTTAAATGTAGAAGTTGTGAGCCAATTAGATATTGATTGTGAAATTCAAGGAAATGAAAAGCTTTGATTTTCATTTATATGCTAGAGGTAAAATCAGACCAGATGTATGACACTGTAAAGCCTGTCATTAAGAACAAAGTGGACAAAATTCAGAATTCCTTACAGCTGCTTAAGAATATATATTTAACTTGGTTTAGAGGCAAAGAAAAAAAAATGCAAATGCATATCCTTATGGTGATTCAGCCACAATTGTAACAAAAGATTTAATGTGACGGAAGCTTACCCAGAAATCCCTCTCACCGGTAATATGTGAATATTAAGATGTGGGATGGATATGTGAAAATGCAGAAACTTAAATATAACTCAAAATATAACCAATGTAATGAAGGATTCTTTTTCTTTATAAAATGGATAGCCACAGTTTCATTTTGACTGTGAGATGTTGATAACAAGGAAACTTGTGATTCTTTAGCAAGCTTACTTTCACAGTTCTCCATCTAATTGCAAAAAAATAGGAAATAATTGATGAGAAGAACTGATTGAGAAAACGTCATGAAATCTGATCAGTCTCTGAGGAACAGTGGAATTTCAGAAATGAAGTTCTCAGTGTGCTATAAGTAGAAAGAGCCCTTATGTTACCCTTATGTTACCCTTATGTTGCCATGCATCCACTCTGTGATACAGCAGCGCACTTACAAAGCATTGCTTCACAGCAGTTTGTATGTGTTTGTTTAACACCTCAGCAAAATGTTAGCCAAATGCTAAGTGGTGGTGTTACTTTTTTTGTTTGGTTTCTCCTTCAATTTAGTTTTTAGATGTTGTGCAGCTAGTTCAACGGAAGTCCTGGAAAGTGGGAGACATCTTTCATGCTGTGGTGCAGTACTGCAAGCTCAGTGAGGAGAGCAAAGAGAAGACACCAAGCCTGTTCGATTGGCTCCTTGAACTGGGTTAGGAACAATTGCCTGTTCCACTTCTTTGTTTTAATCCAGCTTAAGTAAGCAGTGGTTCGTGTAACACTGATTTCCAAACATCACCAAATAAAATGAGCAAAGATATATAAACTACAGAAACAGCACCTGTCTGTTCCACAACTGCACTGAGCAGAGTTGAAACCAAGGTGTATTTTATCCTTCTGTATCCTGAGGGATGCTTGACATATTGTGCTGTAGGATGTACTGTGCTAGAAAAAGATGGATTTATTAGCTTTCTGAATTAATGGACTTAATTTACTTAACGAATTAAGTAAAACTTAATTGAATTTCTAATACATTCCATTTTCATCAATTTGATTAAATCAATCAGCTGAAACAGGATGGTATACTAACATTCATTTTTAAAACAATACTAATGTTTGTACAGTTTTAACTTTTAGAACCTGAGTGTGTTCCAGGATGCACAGAGAAAACCATGCCCTTCAATAAATAAAACATTTTAAAAGAAGTCTCCACAGTCCTCTGAGAGGTAAAAACTTGTGAACTCATCAGATCTTTGAAGTCAAAAAACAGAACAAGAAGCTGCTGAAAACACATTTCACTTTCTTTCCATGTGATCATTTCAGCCCTATAGCTGGTTCCCATTCCTGTCTTTTCCTTAAGGGAGTACAAATCTCAATCAGTACCCTTAAAAAGCCTCCTTTCTTTACACTCGCAGGCAGTGCAGTTCAGTACAGCTGTGCTTGGTATGTCCCCAAGTACAGCTCTGCGAGTCAGGGTAGTGGGTTCCTAAAGCCCTGTCCCCACCAGGTGACCTCGGGCGAATCACATCACCTCTGTGCCTCAGTGTCCCTGTCCAGTAAGAGGGAGCGATGATACGGAATGTGTTATGTGAAGTGTTTCTGTTTAAAGCACTAAGTAACGTGCTGTGTGTCGGTTAGAATACTGAAAAGAAATACTAAGTTTAATCAAGTAAATTGTTAATAAGGTGAAGAAAGACATCTAAAAAGAGTGCTGTCTTGAAATAAAAATCTTCATTTTTGTAATTTTCAAAAAGTCAAAACAATTGCTACAATTTCAGCACATGCCTGTTCATTTTGGATATGTGTTGGACTGTGTATGATAGTCCACATTATGATGACATTTATATAACTGTTTGGTAAGATATCCTATGGTATCTTCTCACTGAGATGATGTTAGGTATCACGCACTCAGTGATACTCTCTTGACTCTGCCAAAGAGATTGGCTTTGAATTTAAAGGTAAACATAACTTATCGCATCAAAGCTCTTCTGTGATTTGTTTCTTTGAAAATCTTTATATTTTGCTTCTCCCTTCTTAAATAGCATAATAGAAAGCCTGCCTGCCTTTCCAAATCAAATATTTAAGAGAGATTTTATTTTCCATATAATAGTATATGCTTCTATAATATTTTTGGGAGGTGGGGTGAAAAGAAGAAAACTATCCTTTTGCACTAAATATTTTTGAAGATTTTGAAGTAGTTTTAAGTAATTTATGAAAAAAGAGCCATATTATTCTCAATTTTATCTTTAAAACCATTGCTAAATTTGCATGATTTCATCACTCATTTGTTAAGAAATACAGACTGTCGGTGAAACCTATTACAGAACATTAAATAACATCTACATCTCTGCAATATATGAAGTCAGTGGAGGTCTCTTTACTGTCAAGATAAAGGTCAGTTTGTTGCATCTACTCAACCTAACTGCACTACTGGAGCCCATTCCTAGAAACTGCTGAATATCCACAGCTCATGCTAACACGAGTGGTAACAGTGAATGCTCAGCATTTCCAAGGCTGAAAGTTAGTAAAAAGCACTGGGCATTGTAAAGTGCTTTGATAGAGCCAATAAATGGGAAAGTGTATTTATTTTTAAGCAGATACAGTTAGTTGTCAGTATATAAATTTTTGCTGTGGTAGAATAAATGTTTACTTATCCTACAAAGCACAAATATCATGACTGAGTTGTGTGATGCAGTTTTCTCTGTACAGTAGTTCTCAATGTTGCAATTTGTTCGGAAATAAATTTATGTTCTAACATGTGTTGTCTTTACCTTTCTAAAAATATTTGACCAATTCAATTATTGTCATGTCATCCCCGTAGCTTGTCACAGCAATGCTTCTGAATGAAAAATCTGATCCCTGGCCATAACTGAGCAAGTCAGAGCTCTGGCTTTCCCCACATTCCACTATTCAGGTGGTACAGCATTTATTACTATCACTATTACACATTCAGTGCAGAGAATTAACTCCAGAGTAAGTGATATTCTCAATCCCTATTATTGCTTATCTGGCCTGCTTTCAATAACTGCTAAAGTAGGCAGGGAAATGGGGGAAGCAGACATTAAGGACTTTCTTCTGTTCATTGATTTGCACAAATATTTACACCCCCGATGTCTATTGGGAAGGTATTCCTGATGCTAAACAGAAAAGGAAACCAACAGCTGACTTAGCAGAGTAAATCAGAACCCAAGTTGTTCATGATTAAAAAATGCTGAAACCCTATTATGCTTAGGAGATACCTGGCCTCCCACCTCGCAGGGAGCAGAATCTGGACTGTAAATACATGAATTCAAGCACAGGAAGATTAACTACTGAAAAAAAAAAACTTTGGGTTTCAGTTTGGTTTTAAGTAGGGTGCTTTCAATGTTGGGATAATTAGAAGCTGAAATTTCCTCCATTTTGTCATAACACTGAAGTTACCTTAAAGTCATCTGTAAATTATTTTATTGTGGTCTGTGATAAAAACTGTCACCTGTTAACATCTGTCCTATTAAATTCAGCAGACCACTATTCTGGAGAGGCTGAATTAACTGCTTTTCTAGTCCAGTTTCACAAAGAGCTGCATAACATGAGAATAAGAATTTCACAATAAATCCTACAGTCTGACTTTTAAAATGTCATTATAAAACAACAACAGAACCTCACTCCATTGAAGTCAAGAGCCCACATAAGTTACTTAATAAGTTTGGGGAAAAAAATCCAACTGAGAAGGAAAGCACCCAGACAGTGGCCAAATAAATAATTTTAATTCAAGCCAGTGTTGTTCCTAAGCCTTCAGTATGTGTAAAGAAACTTTAATTTTTCAGTGCTCTGAAGGCACTGCCATCACTAGGAAAGTAGCTTGCAGCCATCAAGCATTTAGCAGGACAGACAATTATATTAGACAGGTGGACTGTCAAACTAATTATATAGCATTTGTGATGAAGACAAGTCTGACAAGTCTGGCTGAGGGGTACTGTGCCCTCCTCCCAGCTTCAGCTGAAAATCAGACAGAACGGTACAACAAACTGGAAAAACATAACCAGGCAGGATACATTTCATACCCTTTCACTAACCACCCAGGAAATGCAAGCAATCCTACAGGAGGAGCTGAAAAGGAAGTTCTCACAAATTATCACTTCCAAAGCCTGAGTGGGTATGACTGCAATTATTGTCATTTATTCAGAAAAGGCTTTGAATCCCAAGAGATAAAAAAGCATACACCAAGAGCCACTACACCTCATATGCTTACATTGAAAATCCTTGTCCTAGTCTTGCAAAATATATGTTCTGCCCTGTTCTCTGATAAAATAAATTTATATTTCCACAACAGTAACTGCTGGAATGATTCAGAGATTGAAAGGACAGAAACAATAAAGCAAATCTGATTTCTACTGTGACAGCACACCTTGCGAGCTTCCTGCAGTAATGCTGTTCAGTAACATTGCAGGGGGTGAAATCGCTGCGTTACAGGAAAATACAGAAAATCTCACTCTGCTCCAGCGGCCCTGTGATTACAGTGGTGCCTTGGAAAGCACAACGTATGCAGAAGCGAAATGTTGTGATAAGATTAAAAAGGTATAAAGATAATAAAGTTAAAGGTATGAAGATAATAGTAAAGTAAAGGTATAAAGATAATAAAGTTAGAGCACACACATGAAATTCTGGTTGTGGAAATGGAAGTAAAATTAGGGGAGCAGATCAACCCGATTTCACTGGCAAAGAATGGTTTCAGGATGATGAATCTATAGAATGCACTGCTAATGTTCATAATTTATTAAATCTACCTTAAGGTGCAGAAACCATTCATATGATGGTATACTGGAAAGTACTGTTTAAGGTTTTATGAGTCAGCACACTTTTCAGCTGTGCTGTGAATAATACGAGGTGTGAAAGCATTTCACATTTGAGCAAGAAGCCCAGATAACTTAGCCTGAAAAGCACTCCTATTCATTCAGCAAGTCTGGAGAGAAACAGAAATAAAGACCAGGGAGCATCCAAGTCCAATGCTCAGTTTGTAGAACCACAGACCAGTCACAATTTTGTGGTAAAAAAATATGGCAAGACCTGGAAGTCAAACACTACCACAGATGTTTGATTCATTGAGAATCTAGCATAGCATAAGAGAAAAATTAGAATAGAAAGCAGAAAAGAACACAACCTAAAAGATTAAGCAAAAATGTACTTCCAAAGAAAGTTTATGCTCAGAATCCACTTCACAGCTCATGTCGTGATCCTTAGCTCCAAATCTTTGATGCGCAGTTTTTCTTTACACTGGCTGTATTCAGAGTCACCACTTAAACTATCTTTTGTTTTACTGCACAGAAGAATGGAAGAATGGAGGATGAGCAAAGACAAATGAAAAGACGTGGGCAAGCGGTGTAAATAGCAGGCAAGCAGTAGTTTAATAGTAATGCAGCTCACAAATGGTAGCTAATGTTTGTTCCTGGAAATACCAAGCAGGACATTATATTACAAGTAAAAAAAAAAAAAAAAAACCTAGCATTTTAATATTTTAATACAATTTTTTTAAAAAAGTACTCAAAACGGGTATCTAACAACACATCTTTCACTCTTGAGAGTACAGTAGTGCTGTTTGGTTTTTTGTTTATTTAAAAGGTTACAAGGAAACAATGACACAGAAGAAACAAAGAAACAGGAGCATCCTACTGGATTCATTGATACATTAGCTCCTCTCAGATAACTGACAATGGAGCCAGTGGCATTGTGTGAAAAGGCAACAGGCAGGAAACAGGAACAAAGAAAGCATTCCATTTAAACAGGAATGAAAAAAAGATCTTTTTTTTTTACTGTGAGGTTGATAAACAGTAGAGCACGTTGCCCAGATAAATTGTTGAATCTCCATTCTTGGAGATATCCAAAAGTCACTGTTGTGTTCCTGGGCAGCATGCTGAGCTCACACTACTTTGAACAGGATTACTGGACTAGCCAATCTCTAGAGGGCTCTTTGAAATTTAACTGTTCTGTGAATCTTTAGCTACCAGGAATCAGCAATTCAAACCTACAAAAATTGAAGTAACTTGGCTACTTGAGCAGAGCAGAAACACAACAAATGACTAAAAGTAAAGCATATCTGAAACTGAGTTTATTGACTACGGAACTCAGGATGTAGGCACATACCACACTGGATCTTTCCTTGTCTTCAGTCAGTGCCATACTCTACAGGTGTTATCCTTGCTCCCTAGTAATAAACACATTTTGAGGGAATTATTTAGCAGTATTGCACAACACACTCAACTTTGTTAACAACTCAATTGACCAGCTATCTGGAAAACAGAGAAACCAGAAGGACAATATTTTTCTGTCCATGACTAGCAGAAGACAGCAGGCCCTGCAGCAGTGTTTTTCACTGAGATCATCTTGCACACGGATATTTAGGGGGTTCAGTGCAAAGGTCCAAGTGGTCACAAAACCTGCTCACATTTTCCCACACAGGGAATTTTTGTCTGAAGTAACTGAAACCTGAACAGGCTGCGTTGTTCTGTAACCAGAAGGTACGCTCTCATTAAAAAAAGCGTTGCATCTTCCTCATCCAGAACTCCCTCACAGTAGCGCAGTACAAGAACATGACTTAGACACTGCTCTGTGGCTACTACTTGCCAACAGGTGCTTTGGTACAATTTTTTTCACAGCCATATTCATTTAAGCTTCAGTTCCAAAGTAAGTGATAGTTTTTCTTGACTATATTTAAGCAATTGTTGGCAACCTACATTTGGGAGTGGCCCCACAGCACTTTGCAGACTCTATTTTTTTAGCACAATAAAATTGAAAACGTGTTTCAAAACAAAGGAAAGAAAAAAGATGATTTGGGATACATTAGTTACCTGTAATGATTGTATTGCCTTTGTAATTGAAAGCACAGGAGAATATCTCATCAGTGTGGCCCTCTAATATCTGAAGGCACTGTCCAGTAGCAGCATCCCAGAGTCGAGCTGTCTTATCACAGCTGGCTGTTAGAATACGATTGCCCTTAGGGTTGAAACATATCTTTAAAAAAATACAGAAAATAATTATATTACTTACCATGTTAACATGCCTGGAAAAGGAAGCGTATCTAGAGATTAGAAAATGAAAGCAGAAGACAGTATATAATGAAGTCAGTTTTTCTGCTAAAATTAGCATCGCCACTGGCAGAATTATGTGGCTGGAAATTTTGTACAAAGGTCCATATAGAATGACAACACAAAAGGATCAAGATTTCAGATCATTATCCCCCAAGATCAGAATTGCTGTTGTTGTAACAACTTCATTTAAACATTATCACTATTTCAATGTAAAATATATGCATATTTTGTGGACATCTTTTTTAAACAATATATGTATCTGTAACATCCAAACTCCCACTGAAGGCAACTTATTCTTCAGTATGTCTTCATATTTTGTTAAAGGTTCATTCCCTAAATTGCATGCATTTCCTGATAATCAGATTTATACATATTTTTTAAGAACTAACCAGACAATATCAGGTTTATTATATAATGCATTATTGCTTAATTATTAAGGGCAAAATGCCTGTTCCCCTGAATAACCATCCCAAGTGATCACAGCTACACAGAACATCTGCACAAACAGATTAACTTTTCAGCATGCTCCCAGATAAGTGGATTCTCACTTGCAGCAAAGAAATCATATCTGCCCTGAGGATCCTGATGGATACCCTCCCTAGCACTCACACTCTCACAGTACATACACTGCATATTTACATGAAAGCTATCCATTTGAAAGAATAAGGAAAACTCGCAAGCATTAAATAACAT